GAAGAATTGCGTACAAGGACCCTGTCAATTATATATATATATATATATATAAAAAATATATATATATAGTTTTGCATTTTTTTACTCTGTGGTTTGTAAGATCCTTTTAGAAGCTTGGAAATAAAATTTCCTTCCCCACCTATTTTCTTCCTTTTTTTTTTTCTTCCTTCTTTTATTTGGGGAAAACAAAACTTGTCTTTCCTCTGTCCCTAACAAGCAGCAAACATAAAGCTGAAACTACACCTGCCTGTCTCTAGCAGAGGAGGTGCAAAGGCTGCCCAGGTGAGGGGGGGTGTTGTATTAATACCTGGCATTGCTTGGTTGCCTGTCCCAGGGGTGTGGTGGCTCTCTTCTGCTGGTGGTTGTTCAGAAGAGTCGGCTGGAGGAAGAAGATGAAGGAGAACAGGCAACGTTTGCTTGCGGATGACTCCTGAGTTCAAGGAAGATGTCAGATTGAGCAGCGTCCTTAGAAAAGCACTGAAACTTCTATTTCTCACCAAGGGTTGGGAGGTGGGGGTGTAGACCAGCTGAAGCAGCTCCATCCCGTAGCTCGTACTGGAGTGGTGAGCACTGGACCACCGTAGCACCAAAATCCCTGGCCATGCCGCAGCATTCCGGGCAGTGTCGGTGGAGGAAGGCTGCGGGGCGAGCTGCACCGAAGCCATTGCACAAGAGCACGTGTGAAGCAGCGAGGTCGCAGCGTCCTGCTGGCACGGGGCACGGGCATGGCGTCGGGGGCAGCTGCCAGCGGTGTTTCCATACGCGAGGCTTCCCTGCTCGCACCGCGCTCACTCAGGGTGCTGGTTTCTCGCCTCCCTGTGCTTCAGGGCTTCCCCCCATCACTTCGGTAGCCTGGGGCTGCCCGCACCCACCGCTCCCTTCCCTGGTGTGGTTGGGAGAGTGAGAGCTCAACGAGGTTTCCCTTGGGTTTGCCAAGGCCGTTCGGTTTTGCCTTTCGTTTGGTGAAGAGCTGAGCGCAGGCGCTTGGAGCAGAAGCTCTCAGGATGCCTTTGAAGGAACAGATTGTTTTTCTCTTCTTTTATTTTTCACGCAAGAGGTGAGAGGAGCTGGCGGGGGGCAGCAAGGGCTGCGCCGTTTAATTGCAAACAGCAGTGGAAATAACGCTGAGCGGCACTGCTCTGCAGTGGGGGGAAGGACGCCGGAGTCATCCCTGTTCTGGAGCTGAAACGCGCTCAGGGTGACCTGACCTGAATTCAGGGATGCGGTTTCTCTTCAAAGGAAGCCCTGTAAAACTTGCACTGCTGATTTTAAACAGTGAAGTATAGAATGTGCTTAATTTTTTTTTTTTTTAATTTAAAAGAAATGCAACCTTTGAAGAAAATTGTAGTTTGTAGTGACGAAAGGCTGTTTCTCACGGAGATGAAGAGTCTCTGCCTTTTATCTGCTCTTCTAAACTTGAATTGAGCACACCCATTTTACGGGAGTCATTAGAAAATTCCATGAGGGTCTGGTTCAGGCTGGGTTCATCTGGAGAAGGATACGAAATAGCCTTGTTATTTTAATCCCCAGTAATTTCCCTACTGACTACTTGGTTATCAGGCAGAGGGAAGGCAACACCTCCGAAGCAGGCAACTAGGACACTCTAAAATTAGCCACTGGCCGGTGTGCTGCTCGCCAGCCCCTGGACTGCGGACTAGTGGTAAGGGGTTTGAAGAGGAACGTTGGTTTTATTTTCAGAAACAATTTATAACATGCCTAAGAAGTGCAGCACACCACACCTAGACTCCAGGATGGGCTTCATCTGATAAATCTGAGTCAGCCTGGGGTGCTGGCATAGCCTCAGGCTCCCGTCAGCTTCGATGCGCTTCACTAGGCACTGGTGGGTCTAAACTGGGTCAGATGAATGGTTATGAATGGTGACCTAAAGTGCCCTGTTCTCTCGAATAAAAAAAGAAGGCTGGGGCAGCTAGCTGAGCTGCAGCGGCTACATCGCATCTGACGTTAGGTGACCAGAATCCTGCCCTGAGAGGCTAATTCCCTCGGTTTTGCCTGCACTGATTGGTAAAAGCAGACCTAAGCTGCTTAGGATTTGCTCATCATCTGCATTGAATACTTTTAGCCCTGCACTGAGATGGTCCCAGTATCCAGAGTGTGTGGGAAGTGCTCAGATGTATTTGGGAGCGATGCGGGATACGGTACGGGCGGTGCAGGAGCAGTTACGCCGTGCTTGGCTCTTCTGAAGACGCGCCGGCTGTTTTGTCTACAAGCTATGTCAAGCAGTGTGTGCAGCAGGGGTGAGGAGTCCGCTGGGCTGAGCCTGCTCTTTACCACTCGGATCCGACGCAGCAGTGTTTGCGAAGGTGGGAATTCAGCGTTCAGGAAGAAGAAATCTCTCCGTGGCTGTAGCGTGTCAAAGATCGGGGCTCCTCAGAGCCACAGACGTGTATGGACGTGACCAGTGGACACCGCCTTTGTGAAGCAAATTCCAGTTGGCAGCTGTTTTCATTTCACCCCATGGTAAAAACCGCTACTCTGAAAAGAACCAGTTTGTGCAAAATGAGTAACCACAAGATCTTTGTTTCCTCATTCCCAGAATCCAGGCGTAAGTCTGACTCAGAAGTTACTAATTTTTGCTGGATGAAGAAGGAATGCAGTGTTCAGTGAATACAGTGCCTGCTTAGTAAATCATTTTGTTCAGGGATAATCATAAATATATGCTAGGTACTCTTCACTTGGGATGGTCATCGGTCATATTATCATGTATAGTTCTTGTTTAATAATTCTAGTTCATGCAGTCAGTATGCCGTTTGTAAGGACCAACTTGGAGACTAGTGAGCACAGCCGTGCATGCGTATCAAGTTTCCACTGATGGC